TAACAGGGAATTTCATAGTGGTAAATGCCTACATTAAAAAAGAAGAGACTCTCAAATAAACCACCCATCTTTACACCTCAAAGAACTAGAAAAAGAAGAATTAAACCCAAAGTTAACAGAAGGAAAGGATAAGGATTAGGGCAGAAATAAAATTTTAAAAAATCAACAAAACAAAGAGGTGGTTTTTAGAAAAGATCAGCAAAATTGACAAACCCTTAGTTAATAAAAAGAGAGAGAAGCCTCAAACATAATCAGAAATGAAAGAGAAGGTATTAAAATTGATGTCAGAGAAATACAAAGGATCATAACAGACTACCACGGACAATTACTCATCAACAAACTGGATAACCTAGGAAAAAAAGGATAAATTCCTAGAAACATATAACCTATCAAGACTAAATAATGAAGAAATAGAAAATCTGAACAGACCTATTAACTAGTACAGAAACTGAATCAGTAATCAAAAACCTCCCAACAAAGAAAAGTCTAGGATTCACTGGTTTCACTGGAGGATGCTACTAAACATTTAAAAAAGAATTAACACTTATGCTTCTCAAATTCTTCCAAAAAATTTTAAGAGGAGGGAACACTTCCACACTCATTTTATGAGGCCAGCATTACTCTGAAACCAAAGCTGAACGAAGACACTACAAGAAAGGAAATACAGACCAATATCCCTGATGAATACAGATGCAAATCCTCAACAAAATATTAGCAAACTGAGGGCTTTCCTGGTGGCACAGTGGTTTGAGAGTCCGCCTGCCGATGCAGGGGACACGGGTTCGTGCCCCGGTCCGGGAAGATCCCACATGCCGCGGAGCGGCTGGGCCCGTGAGCCATGGCCACTGAGCCTGCGCGTCCGGAGCCTGTGCTCCGCGGCGGGAGAGGCCACAGCAGTGAGAGGCCCCCGGACCCCAAAAAAAAAAAAAAAAAAAAAAAAAAAAAAATTTTAGCAAACTGAGTTCAACAGTTTTAACAACACATTAAAAGGATCAGACACCATGACCAAGTGGGATTTATTCCAAGAATGCAAGGATGGTCCAACATACAAAAGCCAATCAATGTGATACACACCACATTAAAAGAACAAAAAATTAAAAATCGTATGATCATTTCAATAAATACAGAAAAAGCATTTGACAAAATTCAACACCTTAAATTATTAAAAACACTTGAAAGATCAGGAACAGAAGCAAATTACCTCAAAATAATAAAAGCCACATATGAAAAGCCAATGTCTAGTATATACTTAACTGTGAAAAACTCCAAGTTTTTCCTTGGAGACTAGGAATAAGGCAAAGATGTCCATTGTTACCATTTCTATTCAATATAGTACTAGAAATCCTAGCTACAGCAATTAGGTGAGAAAAGAAAATGCATACAAATTGGAAAGGAGGAAGTAAAATTATCTGTTTGCAGAAACACGATCTTATACATAGAAGACTCTACAGACTCCACAAAAAAAAACATTACAATTTAAGCAATTCAGCAAAGTTGCAGGATAAAAAAATTAATATAAAAAAAAGAAGTTGCATTTCTATACACAAAAATGAAAAATCAGAAAAGAAAATTAAGAAAATGTCATTTATAATAGCATCAAAAAGAATAAAATACTTAGGAATAAACATTTCCAAGAATGTGACAGACTTATACACTGAAAACTACAAAGCACTGCTTAAAGAAATTCAAGACACAAATAAATGAAAAGGCATCCTGTGTTCATGATTGGAAGATTTAATATGGTTAAAACGTCCATACTACCCAAAGCAATCTACAGATTCAATGCAATTCCTATCAAAATCTCAGTAGCACTTTTTTGAGAAACAGAAAGATCAATTCTAAAATTCATATGGAACCACAAAGGATCCTGAATAGCCAAAACAATTTTAAGCAAGAAGAACAAAGCTAGAGGCCCCATACTTCCTGACTTCAAAACATATCACAAAGGTACAGTAATCAAAACAGTACGGTACTGATGTAAAGAGAGACACATAGAACAATGGAAGAAAACAGAGAAAGTCTCATATATGGTCAACTGATCTTCAACAAGTGTGCTAAGAACACACAATGGGAAAAGGATAGTTTCTTCAACAAATGGTGTTGAGAAAACTGGATTTCCACATGCAAATGAATGAAACTGAAGCTTTATCTTACACTACACAAAAATCAACTCAAAATGGATTGAAGACTTAAACAGGACATGAAACTATAAAACTCGTAGAAGATGGGGCTTCCCTGGTGGTGCAGTGGTTGAGAATCTGCCTGCTAATGCAGGGGACACGGGTTCGAGCCCTGGTCTGGGAGGATCCCACATGCCGTGGAGCAACTAGGCCCGTGAGCCACAACTACCGAGCCTGCGCGTCTGGAGCCTGTGCTCCGCAACAAGAGAGGCCGCGATAGTGAGAGGCCCGCGCACTGTGATGAAAAGTGGCCCCCCCTTGCCACAACTAGAGAAAGCCCTCGCACAGAAATGGAGACCCAACACAGAAGAAAATTATTAATTAATTAATTAATAAAAAATAAGGAACGATATTTTAAAAAAAACAACTCTTAGAAGAAAATACAGGGGAAAAGCTTCATGATATTGGTCTTAGCAATGATTTTTTTTTTTTTTTTTTTTTTGCGGTACACGGGCCTCTCTCTTTTTTGGCCTTTCCTTTTTCCGAACACC